ACACACCTACTATCAGCGATATCGTTGTCGATGGTGGGATTTGCCCTATCTGCAACAGGGCTATATGACAGACAATCTGTTGGAACAATTAGATTCCCACTGGTTTGGTTATGTGAGTTTGGATTCTTCTGTTTCATGTCTGTTTGACAAGTGCATTTCTATGTTGGATGATCTCTTGGTTGAGTAGCCGATTGAGGCGTTCATTTTCATCCGAAGATTTCATGTTCCTGCTTGACGCGTGCCCGCCGCAATGATGTAGTTTAACCTGCGGGATATCAGTTATGAATACTATTATCATTGGCTAATATATCGGTTTGATTCTATTGGATCTATAGTTATCAAACTGTTTCACCCACTCACTCCGTCAAGCACATACACATACAACAGCCCGATGCGTTTGAACCAACTTCCTACGCTACACCAAGTAACGTCTCGATTGACCTTGTTCCACGATTTGGCTATTTCTTTGCCATTTCAGTTTCAAGTAGAATCACGGTTCAGTTTATTGGTGCATCCATTTATCGATCGCCTGTCAACCACTCTTGTGTGATGAAATGTGATCGTACATGTGATTTCCGGCTGTGGTGATACCCGTTGTTCCGATATTCACTTACCGCCCACGGGTGATTTCAAATCATTCAAACTAGCTACATCTGTGTCACGGCGCCGCCCATGCAACTGTTGTGGGTACAGTTTGACACCAACTCCAGTGAGACAACGACCACATGTGTTGTCCACACTATGGCCTCGTGCTGCACCTTCCTTCCACGAGCTAGCATTGTAGTCTTCAAAAGTTTGATTGCGTTTGTCAACGATACCCGATCCCATGTGAATGGATTTGGCCTAAATCATCTGGCGGCCGGATAACACCTCCGTGTCCAGTCGAACCGAGACAAAAATACACACCCAGGAGGACCTGGTACCGGTCAATGTACTTGTCTTTTTCGTACTACCAGATCAACACTTGACTGCCAGTTTTTACCCGACCGTGACGAAAACTCATTGGCCCGGGACTTGAGTCATCATCATCATCATTACGCAGCGTAATACAGTGAAGCGAACTTCACTGATCGCTGCCAAACTCATATTACATACAAGGTAAGTGAGAATGTGTAAAGAATATAGGTATTGGACTCAATTTTAGGGATGGAAAAAGAACTCCTATAGTAAAAACACAGAGCACAATCCACCTGTGCATATATACTATTTCAAGCATTCTGGTCCTATAAGAAGTGACAACAAGGTCGCCATTGCTGTCGGTTCGCAGCCATGACCTTCAGGGTCTTCGACCATACAAATACGAAGTCTTTGGAACTCCACCCCGTAAGACGAGAGACACCTACTCTACCTAATCGCTCTGTGCATTTCTTCATGCCTCGTCTACTCGTCATCTGCTGACCTCCACATAGTTAGGACGGAGTCAGGCCACACGCACGCTCGCAACGCTCCAGACAGGCTTAACCTGATTGGATGATCACAGAACGTGTCAGCTAATGTTTGTCCAATCGATCAATCGACATGCCAAGGACACAATCTGATTGGTGCGTCACTGCTCCGTTCTCGAAAGCACGATTAGTCTGTATGTTTTGCGTATCGATAACTTATCAAAGAATATACGCTGACTGTGTCTGAACCTGTGTTCTCTCCGCGTTGTCGTTGGGGGTTAAGCAAGAGTCGCTCGTGTCATTCATACGCCTAGACCAAACACAACACACATGGCTTTCTCCAGCTTGCAACAGAAACTGCGAATAAGGTGCACTGCGGTAGGCGACCGTCGGATATAGGCAAAACGTGTCCTAAACAACTGAGCCTATTGAGCTCAATTCGATGCGATAGCGAGTTCTTGTTTGATGTATTCTCAAACACCCGACGACTTACGTCATGGTTACTAACCCGCTCACCGCATCCCACTTGCGCCAGATTACGTAAGCATCGATTGGCGAAAACCACTAGGTGACGGATTTCATGTACCCGCAAATTCAAGGTCTCACAACCGTAAAGCAGTACTGATCGTACAGTGGGACTTGAGTCGCATTCGTTTGGTCTCGTTTAGTACCGTTTCAAACAGCGCGTCCACACAAAACGAAACATGCGTGCACATGTACATATGCAGTCGCGAACTCTTAGCAAACATCGCAGTGCATTCCGGTTTTGTTTTGACCTGAGGGAAGTGATTGCATTCGCAACAAGGAAGTAGTGCCAAGCAAATGACACTAATGTGTGTGTGTTCCATGGGAAATATTCTTTCTCATCTTCACGTGCAATCTCGACTAATTTTAGGAAAACACGACACAACGTTTACTTGTTTTGCAGCGTATACGCATGCTAATCGCCCACCTTACCTTACTGCGGTTGGCTCCCTGGGGGAATATTTGCCAGCTGCATAAATGTAGGCCACGTGATCATGGGAGTTTGGTACGGGAAAGGTCTCCATCATCACTCAACTTCTTCTTCGATGGTACGCCTCTAGCCTTTTCACAGCCTGGTGCGGACTGTAAGGCAGCAAGCAGTGTGCTGGTGCGTAGTTGCAGACCATTGCCCATAATTCTCACTTATCATTCGGTTGGCAGGCCAAAGCAGATGCATTGTTTAATGAAGTTCACTACCGGTTCCTTCGGCTAGTCAAAGCCTGACCCGCTAGGAAGCTTTGCGGTGCACGAAAACCGCAATCCATTGAGGGCGGGGGGGGGGGCGCCCAGTTCATCAGATCGTACACCCAAACGGTCTAAGGTCCAAGGTACTCTGTACACCTCGANCCTCGATAGCCAATCGAGCCGGTGACCACTACCACGACCAGGAAGGTGTGCGTGGTTCGTAAACCTCTTCTTGTTTTGGAATCAAGAGTTTTAGCCCACTCCCGTAGGTGCGGTGCCAGTGGTTCATCGATCCGGGTATCGGCTTTTCGTTCTCTCACTTTGGTGGGAAAACACCTCCGCCTCGAAAAGGCAAGGAGTAGGGCTTCCTCGTCAGAAGCAATCTGAGTGGCTTGTTCTTATGGGAGCATTTCTCGAGATACAAAGGAAAGTGGATAGGGCGCAAATCGAGTCACCCAGCTTCGATACTGAAGCTTTCAGAGGCTGTTCGCATGCCGATCTAGGTCTTACCTAAGCTTTTAGACCTCGGTTACCCTCAACCTGGTTTAATCCGCCTGTAGATCGGTTTGCTGGGGTATGACCGCTGACGCATGCCTCATCTTCTTGGAGCCACAGGTGCGCGTGGGATACATGATAGAAACCAAAGAGGACGACCATGCTACCAAGAGTCACACGACAGTCTAATAATCCAGAGATGCTTCTCTCATCAGTTACCCCCATTCGCCTGTTTCCGTTTTCGATGTGAACTCTGACCCTCTGTACCAGCTGGCTCACATTTCATCTTTCCAGCCAGTGTTACCGGTTCAAGTTTGTTGTTAGCTGTCTTCAGTAACAGTTATCCAGTGCATTTGGCTCCGCAGCAGCTAATAGAGACACTGTTAACTCCATTCGAGAGATTTTCACCAAAGCAGATGTTTAGATACATGTCCCTATTCGAGTCCGGGTAATCTGAGTTTCAACCTAACGTCCTAATTCGCCGTTACCTGTGAGTTGTGGTGGCTTGGAATAATTAACATTGATTTCTACTGCCATTTTCGGCAGACTCCATCTTATGATAGCGAAACTCCAGACTAGCGTTTCATTTTATTGGAATGTTGAACGGATAAGCTGAGGAGTGTGTTTGGAAATGAATTCAGTTTCAATCACTAATAGTTATCTCACACCACTACTCACAAGTATTTGGAAGAAAAAAAAATAAATTGTGCATTATTCTTGCTGTTAGTCCGATCGAAATTATATTTCGAAGATTAGATACCGGTTTTTATGATTGCATAATAGAACTTTCAAGTTTCTTCTGTAGGATTTTATGGTGGACTAGAGCGCTTTTCCTGTCTGCTCACTGAGTTACGTGCTTCTCGATGTTGCTATTATTTCGATTAACCCAATTAGCCACCTATCAAGCGGTACATTTCAACTGGCTACGATTACCACGCGCACTGTTGTAATCCGAAGCATCTGTAATGGTTTGCATATTCTGAAACATTAGGATCCCGTAATGAATTTGAACAGGCAAGTCAGAAGACAAACACTGCCAGAGGAATTCCTTTCCTATACTTTCATCGATTGCGTACGTATAACATCGAACAAGATAGACAAGTGAAGCGGATTAAGAAATCTAGTTAGTATTAAGCATGTGTGTGTGTGTGTGATTGTGTACAGTGTGTGATGCACGTTATTGGTTGCAGCCAGGGAAGGCCAAGGGTAAAGGTTATACACTCTAGGACACAGGGTTGTTTGTTGTGAGCGGTCGATAATGCCTCGGTGTTTGTCTCGATGACGTAACAAAACCGAGAACGCGTTCGTAAGGTCTATCCTATGGCCGCTTTCAACCAAGTGACGTGCGATGGCCGAAGTCGGTCTGCGTGATGCGGCCAGTGTGTGGTATGAGCTGAGTAAGAGGATTTTTCGTTGCAGCATACATTGGTAGAACCGACCGATCACTGCGAACTAGAATGGCTGAACGCATCTCCAAGTATGTGCATAACCACGTTGGTTACGAGATCCAAACATTTTAGAGAAGTTGGGCTAATTGCCAAACACATGATTCACCTACCTATCCGTCTAAGCCTATTGAAATTGTTTCATGTGATTGTATAGGCTTGAAATAGAATTCACCGAAAACATATGTTCGCCTACATTGTGTTCTTAATCAATTGGCATAATTCGTGTTCTTCATATTAAGGTCCGGTA